CATACCTGGAGAAAAGGCTGAGCAAAAGCAAAGAAGAAAACCCTATACATGACCAACGAAGAGCTAGACACTATACAGCACCCCAGAATTGCACAGGGAAAAAGGGAGTAAGGGTCCTGAGCATGGAGGACCTCAACCAGCATCCAGTGCATGGTCCTTTCTTGGTTCAAAGGTGTTGAATTATCCTCTCCCTTGGATCCTTCCACCCGAAGGATGCCATGAAAATAGTATCACCTTAAGAAGCTGGAAACATATAGCTGTAACTAACTCGAAAGGGAAGGAGCAGGACGAGTAAAAGTGGGACCTTGGAGAGAAGCAGAGGGACACTGTAAAGGACTCTTGAGCTAAGGGAATGGCCTTCCCAGGCTTTCAAGCAGAAAATGAAAAAGCATGGAAACAGGAGGTGCCTGGCCACCACTGGCTCAGAGCAGGGACTCTTGAATAGCACCTCTCTCATAGTGCTGGACCCAAGGAGGGAGCGGCAGGAGAGCTGGTGTCTTAGAGCCTGTCGAGCACAGGATGCATGACCTCATGTGTCAGCTTGAATTAAGGCAAGGAGTGCCATTGGGCCTCTCTGCCTGGCGCTCCCCTTTCTCTGGACTTGGGAAGGAGGGCTAGGGCTGTGCAATGAGCCCAGCTGTCACATCCTCCCACATCATCTGCAGAGCCATCAAGCCTCTCCGGGACCTTTGGGAGAGGGGGGAAAATAAAAAAGAAAAAAAAAAAGACCCAGAATGTGTGATTCAAAAACCTGATCTATTTTTGGTAATAAGATTTCACAGCGCTTCTGATGTTCAGGAACACTTCTTCCTCAGACGTTGCAAATGTAAAAGGGGAGAAAAATGATGAGCTTTTGAAGGAAGAAAGCACAATGGGACATGCCACTGAGCTGGAGAAGAGAGGAGGAAAAAACAGCAAAACCTCTGTCTGTCTTCCTGACATGCTGCCCAAGTGCTAGGATGAGATCCTGTGTCTGCAGAGGCTGGATCTCATAACTGATGTTTACAGGGGGAAAAAAAAACCCACAGTGCTCTAACTGGGGCAAAACAACCTGCCTGGCTAGAGAAACCTGCACAGAAGGGTGAGAACTTCCCATCCCTCTTTTATTTGCTGTTTATTTCTAGAACTAGGGACCAATACAGGATTTTGCTTATCAATTCATGTTTTGGAAATGTACTGACTTCAAGCATATCAATCTCCAAGACAACTACCTGAGCGTCAACTTTGAAGAAAGCCTTTGCAAAATACAAGCTCAACAGGGTAGAAGCGCTCCTCAGACTGCCTAGGTTTAAACACCAGGCATATATTTGATGTTTAATATGAGTCCACATATATACTAAAATCTGCTTCTATAAAGCTTTATAAATAGTTTTAGTATGTGGATTCAGTAAGCTTGTCACTTATTTGCTCTGTTTTAGTTCCTGGCAGAATTTGAGTCCAAACGCTAAATTTAATTTATTGCGATATATGGTAACTCCACCAAATCCCTTTCTAAGCCAGAGTATCAGCATCACCCTCATCTGTGAAATTCCTTACTATTGTCAGTAACCAGTGATCCATTTTTAAACATAGGTTTAATCTTCAGTCTATGAGATCGCTATCTGAGGTCTCATCCACCCCTGGAATTATTCTGCATACAGATGGTGTAAAGAGTTGCATAAAAATCATGTAATCACGTCTGGATCATTAGACTGAGAGGAGGTGTAAATATAATGGTTAACAGGGCTTTGTATACGGAACTAATTTCAAACCACCTTCAAATTAAAAAGGGGGTGTGGAATAAGAAGTGTCTTGAGAAAAAATGCTGATTCAGGGCCTCATTTCTGTTAAGTGATTTACAGTGTCATTACTGCATTGCTGTACAGAGCAGTGGCTCAGAGTAATTACCCTGTAATGCATGATGACACTAATGTACTAGTAAACTACTGGAGTTTATTCACTACTAACATCAGGACTCTGAAAGGCAGGTAAAAATGCCCTGCATGCATAAACAATGTGTGTAAATGTCACCAGTGATAAATTTTTTAAAAAGGAGAAGGAAGAGGCAGTTACAAATAAATCTGCCAGCTGAGAATTGCAACTGCATAGACCCACAGGAGCACTAAAGCTGCATCGTTTTTTAATAATATGCGAAGGAAAGATGCTTTTATATTCCTACCCTGGCTCTATTTCCATTTATTACAGTCAACATTGCATGGTGGCTTCTTCTTTTTGCCACTCTAAGTGCAACAGTGACCTGCACCTGGTGTTCAGCTCAGTGTGAGGGGGAATGTGGAAGGGAAATGAAGAGCATCAAAGCAACAGCCAAGAGCATTAGTGGTTTATGACGACTGTCATAATGCTGCTCTTTTTTTAGAGTTCCAGCTAGCGGAAATGTGGAGAACCGATGAGAGCTTCAGGACAGAGGTGTTTCTGCTTCCTTTGTCTAAAACAGCTCTTGTGGTTATGGGATGAGGCTTGGATCATGACCTGAGCATGTCCTAAGGCATCAGAAAATGCAGCCAAACAAAAGAAAAAAAAACTCATAACCCTCACATACATTAAAAAAAAATCATTATTATTACAACACTCTAACAGATTTTGGGTGCTGAGGCTGAAAATGAGGTAGCAGACACATAAGTAGAGCCACACATCCCAGATCGCAGGGCCAGAGGAGAGCCTTGCTCTTCCCCCAGGAGACAGTACCAATTACTGCATTTTTAACATCCACTCTGAGCAGCCCTTTCTTTAAGATCTCTCAACTGGGGAGGTGAGGGGTGGAGGCCCTGGTGAAGGCAGTTAATGTAGCAGTTTATGTTGGATAAACTCCATTTTACCTTCTCTGCAAGTGCTGCAACTGTTCTGCCTGACCCACTTTGCCCTGCTCCTGGTGGCAGTGCCATTCATCTTGCAGAGGTAGCTATGCCTTCACGAACAGCAGATCACTGAAGACTTTTGTTAGTCTTTAGCTCTTTTATCTTGGAGAAAGCAAGGCACAGCTTCTTTGGCTGCTGCTGTTCCAGCATTCTTGAGTCTTCCATAGGCTGCTCCAGACCCCATGGCAAGGATTCACATTGACCTATTCTAAGTAAGCTCTGAGTCATCACACCCAACATCACAGACAGACTTGAGCAAGAAGGTCCTGGAAGTCATAACTGCCTCTGCCTTATTGGAGTGCTCTGCTGAAAAAGCAAGGGAGTAAATTTTACCGCAGAACTGGAGGTTTTCAAGTGGCTTAGAAGCAGCTGACGATCTGAAATGCATGTGTCAAATCTCACGGTAGTTCATTCAAAGCTGAATGGAGGTTGTGGACTGCCAGGAGATTGCACATGACCAGCCCAACTCATGACAAGACCAGATTTGGAGAGAAGACTGTGAATCCTCACACCTAAGGTCCACACCCAGCACATGGTTCCACCTTGCAGAGATGCAAGAGGAACCACCAAGGAATAATAGTGCTGAGGCAGCTTCTGTGCAGAAAGAGTCAATTCCTTAGTTTTTGTTACTGTATTAGCTAAGAAAACACACATTCACACTTACAAAGGGGAAAAAAACCCAGCAAATATTTGCTCAATCAAGTTACAGATCTAGCCACATGGATGCTGGTAGAAAAGCTCACTCAAAACTAAGGGAGCCTTTCACACCAAGAGCATTAACAGTATGCTTTCATTTAGCCCATAAAGCCCTTGGGCCATTTGGAGTAGCTAGGGTTTGCAGTTGCAGCTGCAACTCTCCGACACAAAGGTTTTTCTGTCTCTCAGAATATTAAAGATGAATAACTAAGTGAGATTTAGAAGACAGCTTTCTTCATATTACATAATGACAGTGTGCCTATCTAGATTAATCTTGCATCGACACGTTGCATTTTTCAGTTGTGACCTCTTAGAGAAACATGTGTACACACTGATACATACTCACAGCCTCACAGTGTCAGGGCAGAATGGTGACAATCACTACAAAGGTCAATCCTGTACCTTTCTGCCACTGTAGCACCCTTTGGAGAGTAGGAGAAAGGAAAAACCCCGAACCTAAGCTATAGTGCATCTCCCTGCTAACACGCTCTGGCTGTCCTCCTCCTCCCTTTCTCTTCTTCCATAACATTCCCTGTGTCTGATGTTCACACACATTTCTGGAGCTGACCAAGAAATCCCTCCATATACCTCTTTGATTTTAGCTTTGCTATTATCCATTCCAAGAAGGACAAGTTGGTCATTTTGATATCCCACCTCAACACTGATAACCTAATTCAAAGCATCAAAAGGAGATCTAAGAAGTCTGCACCAGCGCAGATGCTTGCTCTGGGGCCAAGCCCATTTCCCCAGGCCACAGGGGCAAACACCAAGGATTCATCACAAAACAGCAAGGGGACAATTCTCCAAATGGGGCAAAGAAATCAAGGACTCACATTCATATCATTTTATTTGCAGCATTCAATAGAGGCACCTATCTTAGCAGAGCTACTCTGGACTCACTCCATATGTTTCAGCTACTAGCATTGCTCCTGAGGGCAATCAGCTCACTTAAAATTCAAGTCATCCTCTAGAGTGAACATGTCTCCTCACCAACTCTAGGAAAAACCTCAAGCAACAGCAATGTGGATTGAATCCAGGCCTGAACCACTGCACGACCGCTTCTGTACCTTTACTCACCTGAGGGGCAGCTGAAATATGCCTCTTTGCATCCTGCTGCCAGCCTCCTGTGCCTGTGCGCTGCCATTAGGAAGGAAAGCAGGAAGGCAGAGGGCAGGACCTAAGGTGTACCTGTCCCTGCAGAACTAAACTAGTGGGAAGAGCAAAATAGCTTGTGAACAAGACGGTACGTTCAAAGCTATGTAATAGAGCACATGGGACACAGTCATCTCTCAAGCAGCTCTCTCGCAGGAATTAATTTGCTTCTGAGAGTGTTCTTGGATGGAGAGTGGTAATTTTACCATGGAGGCTCTATGAATAAATGAATGATACGCACTCATGCCTACAGCTGGTTCACAATGCACGTGCATGGAGGCTGCATCACTGACTCACCCTTGGATGGCGGTCTCTCCAGATCTGAATCGAGATGGATCGGTGGGGCAATGTAGGAAACCTGCCCGTTGTGAGCCTGCCCTGTGGACAAATAAGTGTTTTAGTTCTGCTGTTTCCTATAGAGATCTATGAGGGCTGTAATTAAACACACATTTTTATGGCACTGGATTCAGAATAGATTTGCAAGTATTTTGTTCTATTGTGCATTTTTCACAATGAACTTCCATTTTGTGGAGACACCTGCTGAAAAGTTGAAAACATTCCCATTTCTTTGCTTTTTCCATGCAGACATGGGTACTATGCTGAACTTTAGTTATACCTGCTTTACCGCTACCATATACATTTTGCTCCATATTCTCTTAAAAGGCCATATGCTACAGAAGACAACTGATTTCACATAAGCCCATTCAAGCTGTCAATCTCACTCTAAGAGGGAAGCAAGCATTCCTGTGTCACCGCAATTTTTGAAGGAAGAGTGGTATGAAGTACAACTGCATCTGGTTTTCCCACCTGCAGAAGAAACAGATATCGGTTTGCGGAGCTCGGTATTGCTTTCACCTGGGTGGAAGTTTTTTGATTCCCAACACCACCGTGCAGATTCCTGATTGCTAAAGACTCAATTCTTCTTCAGTAATTTGGAGGTAACTATATTGAGAAACTTCTATTTATAATAAAAACATGTTGTTAAAATTCATCTATTTACTGTAACAATTTACAGGGTTGTTAATCTCTTTTTCTAAACATGGAAAGTTAATGACACATAGATTACGATAACAGTTAGAGTAACCTTCCCGTTTCAAGTAATATTCGTGCTGCAATAAAAGCAGTTGATTCCTCTTATGAGACACATTCCAAATAATTAATAGGGCTCCCTGTTGACACTTGCTGTTGTTGCTCCAAGCAATTTCCAAGCTAGCGTCACAGGCAGCAGAGCAGCAGTACAGTCTTCGGGCTTCTTTGTAATGACATCCAGGAATACCATGGGCACAGTACGCTGGTGCACATAGTATGTTGAAAACATCTCTTCAGGGGGATAAAATATTAATGGGAAAGGAGGGAAAAAAAAATAAGTGTGTCTGAATGGACAGGATATATTTACTGCTTTATGCTGAGGCTGACTCAGATAATTTGCATTATTAGCCATTATAACAACTGGACGTTATTCAGGTTTAAAATCTACCGACACATCATAAATTCTATATTTGCTTTTAAGTGCTTTAACATGGGAAACCTGCTTCAGGCAAACCCATAGCTAATAACAAGTTATCCTGCTTTCCCCTTCTCGTTTACATGTTAAAAATCCATTTGATGCCATTAGTAAGCACAAGTCATCATTTAATAGCTGCTTGGTTCTGCAGCAGAAACAGGCAGTCTGGTCTCACTCCAAGCTGCTCATTGTGCAGGATCAGTGCCCTTATAACCACAGGACAGGCTCCCCATTTGCTGCATCACAGATACCACTGAAATGCAAAATAGCTGAGGTTGGCAGGGAGCTCTGGAAATCACCTAGTCCGGCTCAAGGGCAACAAGAGCCTACAGTAAGTGTTCAGTGTGAATTTTAGTATCTCCAAGGATAGAGACTCCACAACCTCTCTGGGCAACATGTACTAGTGCTTGGCCACTCTCACAGGAAAAAAAAAGCTTTTCTTATGTTAAGTGTAATTTCCTTTATTTCAATTTGTGCCTCTTGCCCTGACACTGGATGCCTCTAAGAGCCTGGCTCCATCTTCTTTACTCCCCCCCATCAGGTACTTATATGCATCAGTAAGATTCCCTGGACCACATCTAGTCCAGGCTGGACACTCCCAGCTCTCTCAGCCTCCCCCTACATAGAGATGCTACAATCCCTTAATCACCATTGTGGCTCTTTGCTGGACTAGCTCCAGTAAACCCCTGTCTCTCTTGTACTGGGTAGCCCAGCACTAGACCCAACACCCAGATACGTCTCACCAGTGCTGAACAAAGGGTCAGGATCACCTCCCTTGACCTGCTGGCAATGCTTTGCCTAATGCAGCCCAGGAGGCTGGTGACCTTTTTTGCCCTATGGGCAAATTGCTAACACATGGTTGTTTTTTCTTTTCTTTTTTTTTTTTTTTAATTGTTTTTTTAATTATTTTTTATTACCTGGTATTCTTGGGACCAATGGATCCCAAATACAAAAAAGAATGATTCTGCAGGCTGAAAGGACTAGGCTAGAGTAAAAAAGATACATGCATAGTATATAAAAGACTACAAAACATCCGTGAGTTTGTTTAGACATTCATTACAATTCAGTAATAACTATGGAAGTTTATGAATGTTTTATAAAAGCTTTTACCTAATATGGAGGAAGCAGTACCATCAAATGCTCTCTTGTGATAAACGAAACAAGTTGCAGAAAGCTTTTATCTACTTGCTGCTGATGCAAAACACACTACTTCCAAAAAAATATCGAATTTGACTTCTGTTAGACTGTACACTTCCCACAATGCTAATAAATCAAATTTTGCATTTTAACAGTCTTTCTATAATAAACCAATGCAAACAATTGTTGTGCTTCATTTTCTGGGCATGAGTGCCAGCTTAGTAGCTCTTCAGACTCATCACAGTCTTCCCATACAAGGAAAAAAGGCTCTCCACTGCTATCTGTGGCCTCAGTTATACATTCAGGATCAAGACACCTTGTAAACCTTCCTGTTAATCAACAGAATCACATTTTTTCTTCAGTTTTACTGTTATTTGCAATAGTGACATCTGAGAGGGTTGAGGAAAGGGAGTCAAGGGGGTGCCTGAAGCAAGTCCTAGCAACGGGACTGGTACACAAGCACACAGAGAAAACTCTGACTCAGGAGGCCAAACTAGAGGATCAGAGCTATGGCCCTTCTGGCTTTAATGGTATTACAAGTTGTGCCACAGACTCCATTAAAAACCCCACAATTCTACCCAATGGACCTACGCAAAATGCTAAGGCTGATATCACTGGTGCAGCTCAAGTCAGTCACAAAGACTGACAGAACAAGTTCTGCCAAGTGAAGCCAACTCCCAGTCCCTTTTGCATGAATTTTGCAGTTTCAGATGCTTAATTCAAGCTTCAGCTCTAGGAATGATTGACTCCAATCTCCTCCTCTCCAGTTCCAGCTACTGCAGAAAAACACTTGAAAGGGGAATGTGAAAGCCTTAACAAAAAAAAGAGATGGCAGAAACACTCAACACCTCCCTTTCCAAATTGCCTGGTCCTTCAGATGTTTTTTCTGCATGTTGGGTCTGAGCTGATAATGGCGCAGCACCAGGACGTGGGACATGGCCTCCCTTGCCTGCGTGATGATCTCTTCAGCTGTCAGGCTTTCATTTCTACCCACACATCTATTAACTCACCAGCCTATATGATCGATTGCTCTTCAACCTGAAGAGCTGCCCACACACTAACCAGCATTGGCCTGGTTACACATGCCTATAGCAGAGGAAATGACTAGTGTCAGGTCCTTCCCAAAATTTGCAGGATGCTACAAAACCAACTGCACCTCTTTAAATAAGTGGCTCAGGTTTTAGTTATTAGAAAAAAAAAAAAAGTAAAAGTCAGCTTCTGACAAAATACCAAAGGTCAAGATGTCTCCACTGCTGATGGAAAGCTGAGCACGCCTTGTATCACAACAGCTTGCATGGCCTTCTCTAAATCCCACCCTGACTATAGCCATCTGGTGTTTCTGCAGCCAGCTCCCAGGTAAAAAAAGTAAACAGCAATCAACTGTAATCATGTGCGATGAAGTTGCCAATTTCGTTTCTAATCACTAAGGTTGGGCTCCGTTTCCCTTATTCCTCGTGCTGGTGAAGTCCAGCCACCACCACAGCCAATTGCCATGGCTCCCTCTGAGCAGCAGGAGCTGGGCAGGGAGTGCAATGGGCAACAAGGGCTACGCTGGAAGACAACCGTGGGTCAGTCCTTGTCTGTTTTTTTTTGGTTTTTTTTTGGTTTTTTTTTTTTTTAATCTTACCACAATGATTCAGGTTTGCCCAACACTGCACAAAGATCAAAACCATCTCAGGTGTGACGGAGCAAACAGCAAGTGTGTCATGGGCAGCCAGAAACTCCCTGTCTTCTGCTCACACCACCTCTCTCACTGAGGACAGACATACTGCACCTATAGCAGCCAGGCCATATGCAGGTATGGCAGCAATGGGAAGTGGCTGTTTGGAAGCAACAATTTTGGGAGTGAAATGTAGACGTGACCTTGAAAATCCACCTGGTGACATGGCCTTCCTCAGGTAGAGGAAGCAGGGGAGATGTTTATGGATTAGAAAAAGTGCCTGACTGGCCATTATTTTCAGGTCTGGCACATGAGAGATGCAACACATTTTAAAAAGCCAATAACTTAGAAGAACAAAGATAATGTTTTGTGAATACTGAAGGAAAAAAAATAGCTTGGCCTAAGGGTTTTTTGTTTTGTTTTGTTTTGTTTTAAAGGGATCTGGATACTTAGAGACAGAAAATAAACATCCACACATCTTCAAAAATCTGCCCCTAAGCGATTTAGTCATCTACAGATGCCATGATATAAAACTACAGAAAAAAAATCTGCAAATGCATGGACTAACCAAGGAAAGTAGCAACAAAGAAGTCTCATCTGTTTATCCATTAAAAACACTTCCCCCCAGTCCCTTTTGGAAACTTACCCACTGTTTGCAGCATCTAACAGGGCAGATCTCTCTCCTGATCCTATGCTGAGTTTCCAGCACCTGTGATGTTTGATTTTGCTAGAGCACAAGTCCTGTCATCCTGTACACATGCGGGAAACCTGGACACATGTGGGAAACCTTTCTGCCAGCTCTTGCTCATTTTCTCCCTGAGATTTTACAGTGCACTGTTACAGAAAAAACCTGAGCAGAAAACATGACTGGAAGATTCAAATCCCCAAAAGCAAAGAGAAAGAACACCAACATTTACTAGACTAAAAATAAACCTTTTTAAAACATCTGATGAGAGACCTCCTAAACATCTGATGACTTGCCTCCTAAAGCTCTGGTGCTGGCAATGCCATGAAGATAACTACAATTAACAGAAAGGCTGGTCCTCATTTTTCCTTACTTCTCCTTTGCTCAGTGCC